TTAAACGAATCGAATTCGAACGAATTTTTTGTTCGATTAATAATCGAGCGAACACGAGCATGTTCACGAGTTTTAACAAACGTTCGCGAACATGCTAAACGAACGTTCGCGAACACGAACATGTTCGCGAGTTTTAACGAACGTTCGCGAACATAGACATAATTATCATTTAACAAATTTAGGGTTAATTTTATGGCTGGACTTTTATATTTGGAGGGCAAATTTCTTTGTTTTATTTGTTGTTTTTATGTTAATGTTAGTTATATAGTTAATGAATAATAGAATTTAGTCACTTAGTGCTTTAATTATTTTTTAGAATGATTAATAATTTGCATGGCATATTTAAGGCATAAAATAATTTGGATTCGAGCATTTCGAACATGTTCGCGAACGGCTCGTTTATGTTAAACGAGCCGAACTCGAACTCGAACTCGAACACGAATTTTACTTAACGAACCGAACACGAACACAGGTTTGGAGTTCAAAAATTAACGAACGAACACGAACGTTGTTCGAAACTGCTTAACGAACAGAGCTCAAACATGAGATACTCGGTTCGATTCGGTTCGTTTACAGCTCTAGTTGTCATATACTTGTTTCAAAGATTAGGCCATGCATGTGTAAGAATGAACTAATTTAGACTATGAAACTGTGAATGACTCGTTAAATCAGTTATATATTTTGTTTGATAGTATTTGCAAACGGCAATTACGGGTCTCATGAGTTGAAAGTTGTCCAATTTAAACTTGTTGATATAATTTCTACATTTTTTGGTGTAAAATCGCAAAAATTGGGTGTAAACTTGAATTTGTCAGTTCATATAATTGAATTTGTGTAAAATTTAAAATTACACTAAAACTGTGAGAATTTTTGCCAAATGTGCTAATACCTGCAGGGACCATCTGTAACTAGACAATTTCCAATTTAAGTACCAATATTGGTTGTTATTGGACTCTCTCACCTCAAACTTCAAGAGGCAAATAAATTCTACAGCAAATGGACCACATTTGAACAAGCTTAAAAAACTATGTAAGACTGACATTCTCAAGGGACTTAATAGACTTGAGCTTGCATGTAAAGTACGTAAACATTCCAAACTTGATGTGAGGGTTAAAAGACTGATCTAGATTGCCGTAGGAGTTGGGCAAAGACTAAAAGAAATAAAGCAATACTCCAATGTTATTTTGTTGGTTTTAGCAATATTGTAGGACCCGGGGAGAAAGTTTCCCCACAATTCGAAGATCAGTCATTTATCTAAAAATACATGTTTAGCTTAAAGAAAAGGGATATGGTTTTCGGTGGGAGGAGGAGGACGGCATGTAAAAATTTTGATTTAACAAGCATGGGAAGAAAATGTTACACAAATTATAATATCCTGCAGGAAGAAGAAAAAGAATTGAGAACAACAAAGGAAAAAACATAATAAAGTGACAAAAAAAAAAGTTAGGCTTCATTGATACTACCATCCAAATAATAAGCTCAAGAGTTAAGGCTTTTCCTCACACTTATAACTAAAATATGCCCATTCCACTTTTAATTGATGTAGATAAATTTAACAATCTCCCCCTCATAGCTCACACATTGAGCCCGAGTTTTGATCTGATTGTCAATCTTCCATCTGATATTTGTTAGGTAGAACTGCTGTAAACCAGAGATCTAATACATGGATCACATGCCTCACAAATTGGAAGTTATTCGGTTCAAATCGGTTGATGTAATTCTTACACTTTTGGTGTAAAATCGTATAAATCAGGTGTAAAATTGAATTTGTTAACTCATATAACTAAATTTATGTAAAATATATGATCACGTTAAAATTGTAAGAACTTACATTGATTATGATAGTAATTATACGAAGTGGTTTGAACTGGAGAATTTTCTAATGTGTGTATTAATATTAGGCGTTATTGGGCTTCTTACCTCAAAAGTTAGCCCAAGAAGTAAATAAATTCTACAAGAAAATCAATCATATTTGGACAGGTTTAAAAATCATGTAAGATTGAGACCCTGAATGGGATTAGTAGACTTAAGCATGCATGTAAAGTACGTAAAGATTCCACACTTGACTCGAGATTGCCATGGGAGTTGGGGTAAAGACTAAAGACCTGAGAAATAAAGCAATACTCCAACGTTATTTTGTCGGTTTTAGCAATGTCGTAGGACCCGGGGAAGAATTTTGTGATTCATCTATGATTTCTGCAATCAGTCTATCTATCCCCACATTTGCAAGATCAGTCATTTATCTAGAAACACATGCTTAGCTTAAAGAAAGGAGAGATGATTTTCAGTGGGAGGAGGAAGAGGGCATCTAAAAGCCTAGTTTTTTTTTTTTTTTTTTGGCATGTGGGAACAGAACGTTAAAGAAATTATAATACAAAGAAAAAAGAAAACGAATTGAGAACGAAAGGAAAAAACATAATAAAGTGACAAAAAAAAAAATTAGGCTTCATTGAACTCTACCATCCAAATAATAAGCTCAAGAGTTAAGGCTTTTCCTCACACTTATAAACTAAAATATGCCCATTCCACTATTAATTGATGTAGATAAATTTAACAATCTCCCCCTCATAGCTCACACATTGAGCCCGAGTTTTGATCTGATTGTCAATCTTCCATCTGATATTTGTTAGGAGAACTGCTGTAACCAGAGATCTAATACATGGATCACCTGCCTCACAAATTGGAAGTTATTTGGTTCAAATCGTTTGATGTAACTCTTACACATTTTTGGTGTAAAGTTGTACAAATCAGGTGTAAAATTGAATTTGTCAATTCATATATCTAAATTTATGTAAAACATATCATTACATTAAAATTGTAAGAACTTACATTGATTATGATAGTAATTATACGAATTGGTTTGAACTGGAGAATTTTCTAATGTGTGTATTAATATTAGGCGTTATTGGGCTCTCTTACCTCAAAAGTTAGCTCAAGAAGTAAATAAATTCTACAAGAAAATCAATCATATTTGGACAGGTTTAAAAATCATGTAAGATTGAGACCCTGAATGGACTTAGTAGACTTAAGCATGCATGTAAAGTACGTAAAGATTCCACACTTGACTCGGGATTGCCATGGGAGTTGGGGTATAGACTAAAGACCTGAGAAATAAAGCAATACTCCAACGTTATGTTGTTGGCTTTAGCAATGTCGTAGGACCGGGGAAGAATTTTGTGATTCATCTATGATTTCCGCAATCAGTCTATCTATCCCCACATTTGCAAGATCAGTCATTTATCTAGAAACACATGCTTAGCTTAAAGAAAGGAGATATGATTTTCGGTGGGAGGAGGAAGAGGGCATCTAAAAGCCTGGTTTTTTTTTGGGTCTTTGGCATGTGGGAACAGAATGTTAAGGAAATAACAATATAAGGAAAAAAGAAAACGAATTGAGAACGAAAGGAAAAAATGTTAAAGTAATAAAAAATTGTAAGTTTGTTGTGCTCTATCATTCATATGCTAAGCTCAAGAACTAAGGTTTTCCTTCACACTTGCAGCTTAAGACTTGCTCATTTCACTACTGATATGAAACAAACTAAACAATCTTTCTCTCACGGCTCACGCATTGAGACCACTGATGGAAGGTTGTGACTCTGAATGGATTTAGAGAAGTTTGCACTCTCAGTAAAAGTTAGAGGAGCGAAATCATTTTTTGTTTGTTTGTTTAGGGAGCAGCTGCTGCACTAGCTGCTTTTTGAAGTTGTATTTGTTTGTTTCTAGGATTTCTCTTTCTTCTTCATGCCTCGAAATCATGAGTTATCTTAACTGTACAACTTCTTTTAAGATTTTGAAGAAATTAAGAGATCCTAAGAATGAGAAAATGAAAGTGATGGCCTCCAATTAATTAAAAACTCTCAAACAGAAAAACGGTTATTCCTACAAAAGGTAGTTATTTCATATCGTGCCTTATTCTGCTAGATGGGATTGTAATAATTTCTTCAGATGGGGTGAGTAACACCACATCTAGTCCTAGGAAGAGGATGAGGAAATTGTATACAAGAGAAGTCTCAAATTCTTGAGCATATTCCCATTTCCTGCTAATGTTTCCCATTATGTTTGAGGATATTAAAGTTTTTGGGAATCTGAATTCTTATGTTATATATGCTTACAAATTTTTACACCAAAAGTTACACCAAAATTCCAAGATCAATCATTTATGTGGAAATACAAGTGTAGCCTTAGAATTTTTTTTTTATTTCAGAAAGAAGATATGCTGTTTTTTTTTTCAGTTTTTTTAATTAACTTTTCATGCGAAGAGAATGGTAAAGGAATAAAAATAGCCTACAAGAAGAAGAAAAATAAATGAGCACCAAAGGGGAAAAAATAATATTAAAGCAACTAAACGAAATTCTGAAAAAAAACCGGTCATATTTTAACAAACTTAAAAGCTATTGAAAGTTCAGAATCAAAGAATTCTTTGCTAAATAAAATAAATTCTAATACAAAATCAACCATATTTGAATAAGTTTAAAAACTATCAAAAAGTTGAACAAAGTGTATACCACGGGAAGGAATTGAACAAAAAAGTTAAGTACTAGTATTACACACATAGCCCCAAGAATTATAAACAAGGTATTCAATTTTAACTATCATAGCGAGATTAATTCGGGAAAGAAAATCCAAATCATATGTGAAGGGAAACATAAAATGCAAACTTTGCATGATATGTGATAACATGGATTGATAATGATAACGAGAGACAGACGACTCAAGTCATCCCCAATCATAATTGTTTCTTCTATAATATTTTATACACTGACAGTATATATATATATATATATATATATATATATATATATATATATATATGGTAAGATTTGGATAAATAACAACTATGCATTATTTAAATTTAAAATTCAACTTTTACACATGTATTATGGATCGATCTTAGATAAGTCATCTCCAATCTGAATTGTTTCTTCTATAAATACCTGCACAAGTGCGACAATGGCCATCAGCTTCACAGCAAAAGTTTTCTCTTCCATATTTCCAGCAGATATGTCAATCCTGAATTATTCCATCTGTCCAATTACTTTAGTTTTTGCATGCTTGGTCATCCTTGACTTGCTCTCCTGTTCTGGAGTCAATGCTGCTTCTGATCAAATGCATGCAGCATCAAGGACTGCAAGTGAAGGGAAAGCTCTTTTAACATGGAAAGCTAGTCTTGACAATTATAGCCAATCTAAGTTGTCATCCTGGTCATCTTCTGCAAATCCTTGCAGCGCCTGGGATGGAGTTCGATGCAACAAAGCTGGACGAGTATCGGTGATTAACATCACTAGTTCTGGCATCAGAGGTACACTTGATCATCTCAATTTCTCGTCTCTACCCCATCTAACTACAATTGAGCTTTCTCAAAATGCACTCCGTGGGACCATTCCATCCAACATTGAACACCTTTCCAGACTAACCTATCTTGGCTTCTGGTCAAATCAATTGTCTGGTGCCATTCCTATTGAAATCAGCCAACTAACCAATCTTAGGTTCTTGTACCTTTCAAATAACTCATTCAATGGATCAATCCCTACTTCAATTGGCAATCTGACAGGCCTAACCATGCTAAACCTAGGAACCAACAAACTTTCAGGATCCATTCCAGAAGAGATTGGGAAGCTCAAATCTCTGACGAAACTCTCTTTAGCTGACAATATGCTCACAGGTCGGATTCCTCTGTCTGTTGGAAACTTAAGTGGCTTGACTCTGCTGTATCTTTTCCAAAATTATCTTTCTGGACCTATTCCCAAAGTAATTGGAAACTTGACAAAGCTAAATGAATTAAGTCTATTTGGGAACCAGCTATCAGGTCCCATTCCAGAAGAGATTGGGGAGCTCAAATCTCTTACTGGACTCTCTTTAGCTAACAACACGCTCACAGGTCCAATTCCTCTGTCTATTGGAAACTTAAGTGATCTGACTCTGCTGTATCTTTACCAAAATTATCTTTCAGGTCCCATCCCAGAAGAGATTGGGGAGCTCAAATCTCTTACTGGACTCTCTTTAGCTAACAACACGCTCACAGGTCCAATTCCTCTGTCTATTGGAAACTTAAGTGATCTGACTCTGCTGTATCTTTACCAAAATTATCTTTCAGGTCCCATCCCAGAAGAGATTGGGAAACTGAAATCTCTGACAAAACTCACTTTAGCTAACAATACGCTAACAGGTCGGATTCCTCTGTCTATTGGAAACTTAAGTGACTTGTCTCTGCTGTATCTTTACCAAAATTATCTTTCAGGTCCCATCCCAGAAGAGATTGGGAAATTGAAATCTCTGACAGAACTCTTTTTATATAACAATATGCTAACAGGTCGGATTCCTCTGTCTATTGGAAACTTAAGTGACTTGACTCTGCTGAGTCTTCAACAAAATTATCTTTCAGGTCCCATCCCAGAAGAGATTGGGAAACTGAAATCTCTGACAAAACTCACTTTAGCTAACAATACTTTAACAGGTCGGATCCCTCTGTCTATTGGAAACTTAAGTGGCTTGACTCTGCTGTATCTTTTCCAAAATTATCTTTCCGAACAGATTCCTTCTGCCATAGGAAATTTAACCAATCTCATTGGCTTGGATCTTTCTCAAAACAACTTATATGGGGCTATCCCTCCCGAATTGGGAACATTGAAGCTACTAGCTTATATTGATATTTTCAAAAACCAGCTAAGCGGTGCTCTGCCCGATGGATTCAACAATCTTACACATTTAAATAGGGTAGGGCTGTCTCAAAATCATTTTACTGGTCATTTACCCCAAAATATTTGCATTGGTAGCTCATTGACGTGGTTCGTAGTATCTGAAAATAACTTTGTCGGTGCTATACCAAGGAGCTTGAAAAACTGTTCTACTTTAAGAAGAATTATTGCCGCTGACAACCAACTATCAGGAAATATTTCTGAAGAATTTAGCGTCTCTCCATATGTCGAGCATATTAATTTAAACAATAACAAATTTTTTGGTCAGTTGCCTTGGAATTGGAGCGGCTATCTGACTTTGACAGAGTTGAGGATCTCGAACAATAATCTTTCAGGCAGAATACCAGCTGGGCTTGGAGAGGTATCTCGTCTGCAAAAACTTCATCTCTTCAAATCACTTGCATGGGGAGATCCCTAGAAGTTTGGGGAAGTTGACTTTGTTGCTTGAGCTTAAGTTGGATAGCAATGACCTTTTAGGCAATATACCATCAGAAATTGGTCAGATGTCTAGGCTTTTAAATCTTAGTTTATCGGCCAATAATCTTAGTGGCTCAATTCCAGAACAAATAGGTAATTGCACACAATTGCTGGATTTAAACTTGAGCCAAAATGGACTCGTCGAAAATATTCCTTCTCAAATAGGAAATCTTCCCTCACTCGCAACTCTTGATCTTAGCCAAAACATGCTGGAATCCCAATTGCCACCAGAGCTAGGCGAGATGCAAAGCATTGAGATGATGAATCTTTCGCATAATAAGATATCTGGCTCCATCCCAAAAAGCTTTGATCATTGCTTCAGTTTGATTTCCATTGATATATCCTACAATAAGTTGGAAGGTCCTCTCCCCAACATTAGTGCATTTCAAAAAGCTCCTTTTGATTCCCTGAGAAACAATAAAGGTTTATGTGGCACTGTTGCTGGATTGAAACCTTGCTCTCAATCAACTCAAAGGAACACTAGTAGGAGGACAACTAAAAGAATGATCTTTGTAGTTGTTGCTCCAATACTAGCAACCACGTTTCTTTTGGTCGTGGTTGTAGGCATCTTCATTCTTGCAAGGTCACGTAAGAGAAGCGTGGAGAGTAAGCCTCAGGAATTTACTAGAAATATGTTCACTGTCTGGAGCTTTGATGGGAAAATGGTCTATGAGAACATCATTGATGCAATAGAGAATTTTGACCCTAAGTATTGCATCGGAGCCGGAGGATTTGGAAGTGTATTTAGAGCAGAGTTGCCAAATGGTCAAGTGGTTGCTGTCAAGAAACTTCATGGAATGGATGATGGTGCCTTGAGGAGACCAAAAGATTTCGCCAATGAGATCCGTGCACTAACAAATATAAGGCATCGCAACATCGTGAAGCTGTATGGATTCTGTTCACATGTACAACACACTTTCTTGGTTTATGAATTCTTGGAAGGGGAAGCTTGATGCACTTGTTGAGCAATGATGAAACTGCAGCCAAGTGCGAATGGATCAATAGGGTAAGTATTGTTAAGGATGTGGCAAATGCATTATCTTACATGCACCAGGATTGTTCACCTTCCATAATTCATCGAGATATATCTAGCAAAAATATTTTGTTAGACTCTGAGTATCAAGCCATATTTCTGATTTTGGTACTGCAAGAATCTTGAGGCCTGATTCATCTCATTGGACTTCATTTGCTGGAACTTATGGATATGCTGCTCCAGGTATACTCTTCTTTGCTCAAACAAATCCAATTTTCGCTTTACCTTCTCTTTTCAACTAATCCATAATTACATAATGCTAGCATGAGCAAAGCAATTTATGCTTTTGGATTATGATTGAATACTCTAAAGGGATTCATCTGCACCATAGTCTAAAGTGATTATTTTTTTGTGAATTGCAGAACTTGCTTTTACCATGGAAGTAAATGAAAATGTGATGTTTATAGTTTTGGAGTATTAGCTTTAGAAGTGATCATGGGTAAGCATCCAGGTGATTTCATATTGTCCACATTGTCGGCATCATCATCCACTTCAACAGCATATGATATACTGTTGAAAGACATTGTGGATCCTCGACTTTCATCTCCAAGTAAGCAAGAGTTGAAACAAGTGACCTTGGTGGCAAAGCTGGCATTGTCATGCATAGAACCCAATCCTCAGTTAAGGCCGACAATGAAGCAAGTGTGCGTCCAACTGTTAAAGGAAATACCATCTCAATTCAACGTGTTCCCAATAGTCACAATTGGACAACTTCTGGACCTGCAAATGACAAATGTTTGAACTTCTCTGTTTAAGTGTCTTCCTCTATCCAAAATTTTCAAAATTTGTTGTCTGCAACTCTAAATTTGGGGAAAATCTTGCTATGATCCCTTGTAAGAAACAATAGCAATATTAGTGTCAAAGCATGCAGGGGTGAAGTTCTAGTTTGAGCAGGGCGGGAATATGTTTACTCCAAGCATTGCAATTGTGCCCCCTGACTTATGAAAAATTATAGATTAACTTTAAAAAGGTCTATATTTTTTTATTATTGTCTCTCTCTTGCCCCTGAATTTTCATAATATTCAATCTATCTCCACAATTGCCCCTCCAAAAGCATTGAATTTTCAAATTGCCCTCACCAATTCGACAATGAAACTTTAAAATAACACATATTATATGATGCTATTCTTATTTCTTTTTATAAATCTTTTTTAGTGTAAATTTTGTTTCATTAACATTGAACTTCTCTCATATGGTTAGTCACATGAATTGCTTGCAAACCCAATATTCATTCGATAGTTTTAATGTATTCCATTATTGGCTTATTAGAATGTACATATTGTCGTTTAATGGGTAATATTAACAATTGGGCAATTCTATGCAATTAGATGAACTAAACAATACAGGACACAGTAAATCACACCCTTTGAATAAGTTGGTGCATGTCGATTAATTTATAGCGAACAATTAGTTGTACCAAAAGTCTACAAATTGCACATAAGAAGCGTGATGTAAAATTATTACACCCTTTGAATAAAGGTCCTAACTCCAGTATTGAGTCAGAGCGTTCCTTAGAATGAATTTCATATTCAAAACTTGATACCAAAATTTATACATTCCTAAATTGCAATTCTTCTAATATTGGGTCTGATACTTTAAAAAGCTTGAGCCAGGCTGTGGCAGTGGAGCACAAATGAAAGCATCTGGATAACCTTGCCTCATGGTAGAAAAGTTGAGAAGTGTTTTGTGCTTCAGGAAGGGAATAATGCTGAAGATGTGACATAGCTAAGCATGCTTGTATAAAGACATTGGATGTTCGATCCATAAAACCAAATTTTCTTGTATTTTCACTAGCTTGGGACAAAAATCATAAAGGACTAATATTTGGCATTTGCATAAATTTCTAGTTAAGAAAAATTAATAAACTTTTCTGTTGTGTGCTTCAGAAAAGCAAATATGGCAATGATCATAATAATGCAATTGCAACACATGTATAGTCTTTAGATTGTGCATTGGCCTGGAATGTATGTATATAGTCTTTTAGCTTTCAACTAGATTTCTTAATACTTACTCATCATTCTCACATCTTACTTGGTTAACGCAGAAGAAACTCCACCAACCAAAAGTAGGACAAATCTCTAGTTTTTTTTTTCATACAAGTACTAAGTACTGAAAGTACAAGGTTCATAATGGAAAAAGCAGCAACCATAGGCGGATGACTTTCCATCCTCCTACTGTTGCAAGAAAGTAACTGGATCTACATTTCGACAAAGAGATATTCAAAAGAAAGACTACCAAAAAAAAAAAATGTTATAGCAATGCAACATTTTTTATTGTGCTTAGTTATTGGCTAACATGAATTTGATTAGCTATGAATGACTTCTTGTAAACTGAAAGGTAATACATATAGATGCATCTCTAAAAACTGAAGGACTAATGTTTTGATCTCACTCTAAGTGTGTACTTAATTAGGATTTCTATGTGTTTTCTGGTAAACTATTGAAGAAAATTAATTGCATTGAATGCCACATATGGTCCCTTAATTGCAAAATTTCCCAGAGATAAGAGGAATGAGGAACTCAAAGATGAAGTTTTTTGGCTAGGTTAAGTGTTTCTATTTTAATGAGTAGAGGATCCGATTGCAAGATTTTTAGAATCATGTTTACTGAGCATATATTGTCCCTCTCTGGCAATGTTGTTTGTGTCTCCCACCAAAAGTATTTAAAATAAATTGTAGGAACAATATGTGAAATATTTTTCGAGAGATATGCTTTCATCATCTTCTTTGGAATTTGCAGGGTATTTGAAAGTTTGCTACCTATAAAATCAAGTAGCAGTTACTTGATTTGCAATGGCACATTGGGTTGATCTGTTACTCTAAAAGATTTGGAACTTCTTAGTTATTTGTAATTTTTGAATACTAAGCCCAACTAATCCATCATTGTGCATTATCTTAATCTAAAATAGAGAACCAGCTAAGATAGGCTGAGCCCAGGTCTTCTTTGACCACGTTGACACTAATTGTATATATATATATAAAAAGAAAGAATTTCTAAAAGGTTCTAAAATTTTCAATTTGGTGTTTTTGTAGTTAACTTCCTCCTCCTAAATCCTAAATTAAGTCGAATATGCGGATAAGGCAAACTAAGTTGGGGTTTGTCAGGTTTTGTTTGTTATAAGATTTGGCATGCACTCGTACAATGTCATTGTACATGTGAATTTTGTTTACATATATCAAAATATGATAATTACATCAAATTTTATATAAGAAATATTGATGTTGTATGAATAACAACATCAATGGATAAATTTTACTTAAACCAAATATAGGTCTCTACCAGCCCCCAATTTGGTCTATACTAGGAGGGGAACACCGCGCGATGCGCGGTGTAATTTTCAACTTTGCCCAGAAATGTTCAATTATTAAAATTGGGATATTCAATATAAAGAGTTACATGAAGGTGCACCCAAATCTTTGTGATTATTTTTGAAATTTTATTAAGCACTGAAGAGAGCCACATTTCAGTCTGGTTGCTAGATGACAGCCATTTTTGTTATGCTGACTAATTGGACAGCAATGACAATGTCATTAGTTTGAAAATAATATATTACTGTGTAATGCTGCCTTATATTTTTTATGTACACCAAAATCTGTGACTTTCTAACTCAAAAAAAAAAAAAGACAAAAGATAAAAAAAGAGCAGTGTAGTATTGCAGCAAGGCTTGGCCTTATTTTTAGACAACCAATCCACTATTTTCGTAATTGCATCAAATTAACCCAAAGACCGCAAAGAAAGACCCATTATTTTGTATTACAATAACCAAAATGGCTTCATTAGCTTGTAACTTCAAGAAATCTACGGAAAGGAAAGGAAATTGTGCTTACATATCAACCGTAGTAAGATAAACTGCATTTGACCAAAAACGAAGGAGGATTACTAATACAGGGGTATCTTCTCAATGCATCAATAGCATAGGGGATGGTCAACTACTTAACACACACAAAAAAAAGAAAAAAGGAAGTTTCACAGGCCTCGATGTAATTCTGCCCTTGATCATTTGATACATGTCGACAGCTCGAATCCCATAAAAGGAAAGACAAGTACATGAGATAATGTAAAAGGCTACATTTATGAAACTTACGACCAGTAGACTGCATTCCAGAGGTTCTCATTACATATCAAAGCTGTTCCAGCTCAAGAAGGAATATACGAAAAAGAAGAAAAAAAAATGCACAGTGTAGTATTGCATCAAGCCTTTTCCTTGTTATTAGAATCATACACTTCAAAATAACCCAAAGACCGAAAAGCGCATTACTTTGTAGTACAATAACTAAAAAGTTTTCATTAGCCTGTAACTTCAAGAAATCCAATGAAAAAAAACTGTGCTTACATATCAACCTAAGTGGGATAAATTGCATTTGACCAAAAAAGGAGGAGGATTATTAATATAGGCCATAATTCTATCCTCTCAATGCATCAGTAGCAAAAGGGATGGTCAAGCTCTTGGCACAAAATAACTCATCCAGTTACACAAGATTTTAAACCAAACAAAATATTATGATAACACCATCCACGTGAGATATAATGCATCAAGAGCTGATATACATATACAGCAGGTAATGCAAAGATCAAAGCTACAGTCACTACAAAATCTAGTATCCAGGGTCATACGCTTCAAGGCTTTGATCTTGATAAAGCTTCAAGGGTGGCCGATTCTGCTTCCCACATAAATAACACGTAGTTTTGTTAATCAAATAGCAGAAGCATTCTTGAGTGGTACTGCAAAAATCCACTTCATACAGTTAAATATTAGTAACAATTACCATATTCTCCAAAAATATATCATAGATTTTTTTCTTTTATCATTGTCACTTCCATTTTAATCTAACTTGTTTCACTTACAGGAACATCAACATTAGCGCCTATCTATGCAATTACTTATATGCCAGACAAGTTTTTGTCCATATAATTATCCCTGAAGGCAAAAGTATGGGCCAAAGGATTTCGTACAATTCATAGGTTGGGGCATACTGCACCAGTGTAGCCAAAGAATAAATGAATAATCTTCAATTACAATATAAAACATGCAATAACTAAGAATGAACAATTTTCCATTACATTATTATATACACAATATAGACACTGTTGTAAAAAAAAAATTCCATTCATAGAGATGGTTATATTAAAACGAAAGGTGAAAGAAAAAAGGTTAGAATTAGCACCTTAAAAGTAGTAGAAGGCCATTATTTGCTTTATTATATGCCGATAATTTTAATACCTAATTCCATCATGAAGAGCCCGGTATCCATCTAATTTAATGCCAAATAAGGACACAAAGAAATGGTTCGCAAGTTAAAATGCAGAAAAGATAATTAACAGAAACTTAATCATTTTCTCATAATCAACAGAGGCATCTACTAATTATTAGCATACAAGCACATCTATTTGACTAAGATATTTTTCTAAATAAAGTGTAAACAACTTACCTGTCTAAAGCTGAACTATGCTAAAAGGCCAAAGCTTGGGCTTAGACTGACTGGTACTAAACGAAGCATTACCCCTATAAAATTCAACCCAAAAGTTAACAACAATAAATAGGAGCAAACATAAATTGTTCATATGCAAAATGGAAACAAATAGAAAATAAAAAGGCTATAAAATGTTACACAAAAATAATCACCAAGTTTTTAGCCAAAGACATTGTGCTAAAATTTGAACAACCCATGAATCCAAAACTATATGGTCAAAGAAGGAAAAGGATCTAGGGATATTTTTTCTTCTAAGTAATAGGTTTTTGCTAAACATACACCTTTCATAACAGCATTGTGGCCAAAGTGTTCATCTACCAACCAATCTAACAAATTTTGCCACTTTAACCTCCTTTCCCACAATTAGTTGAAACTTATTCAAAAACTATAATTAGAAACTTCAAACTAAAGTCATCAAAAGATGGAATAAGTTCAATTCCATTGGAAATCGACAATGGCAGAGACATGAAAAAGAAACCAAGAAAATTGACAATTTAAGTTATTTTGAAAATTCCAAGCAACAACTAAACAAGAGTTGGGAAATTTGAGCATAGAACATTAGCTGCTCTAACCGCTAAATGTAAGACATTTCAACTATTGAGAAACACTAACTGCTATCAATAGAGATAGATAGAACCCTGCTAAATTTCAAGGCAGTAAAGATAGGCTGTATGGCAAATACACAAGTACCAAAATCATAACCGGAGAATGCCCTCAAACTAAATTAACTCTTGCAATGCCCCTCCCAATTTCGTCATATTCTACACCAACCAATTTAAGAAACACATTCATTTTTTATTTAACTCTAAAAGTGTATTTACTTTTTAAACCCCTATATGCACACACAAAAGTCTATCTCTACTTTTTCTGCTTAAAAGAAAACATTTAGACAAAAAATTCCTAAAACATAAGAGACAAAAAAATTGGGAGAATGAAGGAAAAAATGTGTAAAAGTAAGTGCATTCCAGTCCAATGGAAGCAAAAAATTTCTTTTTTCATAAATGGTTTATGGTCAAATGTATCGCCATTCCCGATGTGATTTCTAACATCAAAACTTCAACTTTCTCACCTATTCACTTGTGATATCTCGAGTGATAAGTCTTGCTTCAGAAAACTTCCTGCATTACCCAAAAAATACATTACTTCATTTTTCAAACCAAACAAAAGAAGTGGAGAAATTTTTCTACATGCATATGATTGATTGTTGAAAGCATATTACCAAAACCATTCCCTATTAATCCTTCGGCAAAATGTTATGAAATATATGATATTTCAATCCAAAAAAGTACAATTATAATGTTCTTGATTATTTAGAAAAGGGTATGAAAAAAATCAAACTTTTTGACTTGCTAAACCATCCAGAACCAGAACACTATCATCCCTTCCTTCACTACTCTCTATAAAAACATTCCTAAATTACAGCAACAGCAAAAAAAACCCAAAATGAAAAAAAAAATTATCTCACCAAAACATCATAAAGAGCACAATACATTACAGGGAAGTCAAATTATTCCTTCTTAAAGCAATACGAAAAAAAACCTTAGAGATGAGGGTAAAAGCATATGAGAAAATGAATTGAGGTAAAGATAAGGGAAAGTCATGGAAAACACTTACCTTGAATTTGGAGTCAAAGTAAATATTCAATCTTTCCACCTACAACACCATAGAAAGTACAATCAAGTATTGGGGAAAAACCCACAAAAATCACCAATGAAGATGACAATTTTTGAGGAGATGAGGAAAAGTCTAAAGGGAAAACGATCTCCACATTTTTTTCTTTTATAATGGTGGATGATCCAACTTACTGATGATTCAAATGATGAGAGGAAAAAATATTTAGGAAGATGGTGGTGTAGAAGAAGACTGGAGAGATGAAGAGAAAATAAGGAGGAAAATTTTTTGAAATACCTACGAGAGAGAATCCCGAGGCCATCGCCACAGCTACGCTTACGGAAAAGCGAGAGAACAAGTGACCTTTGTAGAATTGTACGAACAAAGAGTGAAGAATCAAGGAAAACTTACAAAATCTAATTAAGGTGATGAAGCAGATTTCAAATATTTCACCAGCAAGATCTAAGCACAAGAAAAAGAGAAGGCAGAACACAAACTCAGAAGCATACTCAACAAGAAAATAAAAAACAGCAGATCTCTGGGTTTATAAATACTTCCGACTTTCGCTGCTTTTGGATGAAGATTTTACTACGGTTTTCTTTGTTCGCTCAAAGAAGGAGATGGAAGAATAGAATTTCAGACCTATGGGTTATTAATCGAAAGATTAACAAATCTTAGCAGGAAAAATGTCTTTCTTTTTAAATAAAGAAAGCTGTAAAACTTTAGGGAAATATTGGAGCTTACCAATTAAGATGATTTCTGTGTCTCATGCGTTTAGTAGCTTCATATCCAGACCAATTCTAACAAGGGAAAAAAATCAGTTAGAATCATATAATTGAAAAAAGGAAAGAGAAGAAAGGGAAAAGAGGAGAGAGGGGAAACGGGAAGGAAAAACAGAGAAAAAGGACCAAATAAAAAATAACAAAAAGGAACAAAGAAACAAAGAAAAGAAGAGAAAAATGGAAGGGGAGAGGACAGGAGCTCTAGAGAGCAACGAAGCGGCGGAGATGAATGAGGGGAAAGAAAACAAGGGAAGCCCTAAAACAAAATTTTTGGCACGTGAGAAATGCATGAATGATGACCATCCTTCAACCAGTAAAACACAGCCACATTAGCACAATCACCACCATCTTAACAAACTCATTCATGCTTTTACTATATAGGTAGAAGAAAAAAGTAAGACTTAAAAACTTTAAAAGAATATACCTCTAGAGAATAGAAGAGAATGAAGGATAGGTATTGTTATCTTTCTTCCTGCAAAGACAATAAAGTAAAAACACAAAATCAGATAAACCAAAAATTGGCAACACAAAAATACTTTCCCGAGAGACAAACATATAAAGAAAAAGGAAAATCTTCTTTTAATTGAGAAATTGAATTAGAAAACCAAATGAGAAAACAACTTAGAAATATACTCTCTATTTAAAACGTTACTATGAAGCTTTGGTCTGCCTATGTTCAATTTTTTTGGTTTCGTCATGTCTACCTAGAAATTGCTAAGCATCAGCTGTGTTGCATAGAAACACAGTGGAGTCAATAATAATCTAGTTCATATTTTCTCTCATGTAGAAATGGAGATATTTTATGGAATCAACAAATTCAATAAGATCAATACAAAATTCTGATTTTAGGTCCATGTAAACTTTCTTGCTTTCCAGTTTTACCTACTACAAACAAATTAATAGTTTTGGCATTTTGTCAAACACTTGATTTCATATAAATATCATTGCATTATTACAGAAATTTAGAATCAAAAAAAGGGAAGAAAAGAAGAAATCCTGTATACAAAAGATACAAAAAGCTAGACATCCATAAAATACTCAAATGACTACAAATTCTAGTAACATTATATCAACTTTCGTGTTTCAAAGGTTTAGGAAACATGCCACAACCTAATCTTTTGAAGGCCAACTAATCCATGATAACCAATATCAAAACTTACACCTAATATGTTATAATCATAAATAAATCAACAATTCAAGGGAAAATAAAAAAATTTACAAAAGGACAAAGCAAAAAACCTGTAATGCGACAAAATCGAGGATAACCTCTTCTGCAAGGGAAAAAATGCAAGATGATGTTTAGGGTACACATGGCAATGAAATAGATACAGTCAAATATTCATTTACTATAACCTACCCAAAAATATATATATATATATATATATATATTCACTTACTATTACATACAAAAGGCTGGAACATAATGCCTCACTACATAACCTAGAGTATTTCGAAAAAGAATTGAAGAATTTTCCCAAACTTTTGACTTGAAATATAAAAAAAATTGTAAATTATGAAAAAAAAGAAACCAGGAAAAATTTCTTATAAAGGCATTAGATCGGGAAAAGTTCCAAAAAAAATTCTCAAATTTGTTAAATCCTTTTTAATACTTTTTGGCCAAGAGCAAAATTGAGATACAAATATGGCAAGAGAAGGAAGAATATCAGGGAAAAGAAAGGGGGGGAAAAAGAGCAAAACTAACCAGTGTTTTAGAACACAATTTTAAAAAAAGGAAAAAAAAATCTTACAGAGTCTCACAGGAATGCTGGAAGAGATTCCAAAATTTTCACCTGCAATATCACAAATAAATACGAATTAGATTAGATCAGGCAACTAAACCTAAAAAGAAAAATAGAAGGCTAGAGAAAATCAGGAAGGGAAAGAAAAAAATACCAACCATCTGTTTTGGTCCTGATGTTGCCGGTCATGGAGAATAAGAAACGGGAAGGAAAAGCACAGAAAAAAGGACCAAATAAAAATAACAAAAAGGAACAAAGGAACAAAGAAAAGAAAAGAAAAATGGAAGGGGAGAGGAGAGGAGCTCTGGAGAGCAACGAAGCGGTGGAGATGAATGAGGGGAAAGAAAACAAGGGAAGCCCTAAAACAATATTTTTGGCACCTGAGAAACACATGATGGACGACTCCTGATGTTGCCGGTCATGGAGAATAAGAAACGGGAAGGAAAAGCACAGAAAAAAGGACCAAATAAAAAATAACAAAAAGGAACAAAGGAACAAAGAAAAGAAAAGAAAAATGGAAGGGGAGAGGAGAGGAGCTCTGGAGAGCAACGAAGCGGTGGAGATGAATGAGGGGAAAGAAAACAAGGGAAGCCCTAAAACAATATTTTTGGCACCTGAGAAACACATGATGGACGACCACCATCCAGCCAATAAAACTTGGCCACATCAGCACAACAATCACCATTCTTAACAGATCCATTCGCGCTTTTACTATATAGGTTGACAACTTCAAAAGTAACATATCACCAGCTCAGTAAAGACATTCTAAAATTTCTGCCATATAACTAAAATGCAAAAGGGAACCCATAAATTTTAGTGTATATAATTAGAATCTGAGACTGAGAGAGACACTTCATTATGAACTCCTTTTGTTAGAAATACATATGAATGGAAGTCAACCAAAAGAAAGGAAGGCAGTTCTTAGACTCAACCGACATAATAAATAGAGGAATATGCCAAACCGGTATGATGAAAACATAGGTTATGATCCCTAATTGGCCATGGACAACTATACAGTTACCTCAAAATCACTGCACTTGACCAAAATTAATACATTCTAAAATCATACAACTTGATTTAGGTCCTGTTAAGATTGTAAAAGTTTTTGGAGTTTTTGGAGAAGAATAAATTATAACAATATGATATATGTGAAGTAAAAATGTAATTGAATACTGTGCAAGGAAAATTTTTTCACAACAAATAGCAATTGAAACATGCTCATCTACCTTGACCTTTTCAAACTTGCATCTTTGAACTTGAGGGGCATTAGCATCTTCTTTAACTTTATAAACAATTCCGGCGTGATGCAATTATAAAGATCTCAGTTTACTTAATTTTTAAATTCACAATAATTTCTTTATTTTTAACCAATATATAAATGAAGTGAAAAAATTCCCCCATCCCCTCCCCGCTCATTAAGTCCCATCCCTCTTTTGTTGGAAAAAAATTTACAAAGAAAAAACCTATAAATGAAGTGAAATTTGCAGATTCCAGGATGACTCACACCATCTAGCATTAAAGGAAGTTGATTTTCTTTTCCCTTATTCTTTTGTTTTGGTAATAGTCCAACTAAATTGACTAAAACAACTAAAACTTGCCTCTTAGAAAAAAAAATTCCAAAACAACATTATTCGCCGATAAGAAGGCAAAAGGATCCCAAAAAGAAATAGCAATAGTACATTATTAGGGATACTACTGCCAAGTTGACCTGAACAAATACATTACATACAGATCCACCTTCTTTTTTTTTTTTTGGAGGATACATATCCCATCTTTACTGGCAACTTGGAGCAGCATATTACATATTTAAAATTGCAAGACTATATTCCTGTGATTAGCATTGGCAATTTGGAAAGCCAATTATTGGGAAAAAGTTCTTATTAATCACAATGTACGTTTTCTAACCAACTTTTCATTTTTCTATCTCACATACGTTAAATTATAAAAATAAATGTATACAGGTAAAAAGTAGAAAAGATATTTCAAATAACCGTAAATCCAAATGAGAAATTACTTTTGTAAATGTGTTGAGAATAGCAAAAATGTAAAAACCTTAAAACCGCTGTGCACCAGCTTGATTATGATCATATTTGGAAATTCTCGAGAATCATTTCTACCAAACAAAATTGACCTTAAATTCAAAGATGAGCGTTTTTTGTACGTGATATTGTTGTATCACACATTCTAATAGATGTATATTAAACAATTATGAAACACTAATTCACGCCATTTTTTGTGTGTAAATTTCTAGTAACTTCCCTATGGTTTAACACATTATCACATGACCTCCCTAATGTTTAAAATATTCACATTATCCCTTGTAACTTTATGTACAGTGGATATTTGATAGAAAAAGCAATCTAGACAAGGTTGTTAGTTGAAATATCATTATTTCTCTGACTTAAGTGCCAATCCAAATGAGAGTCTAACCACTTTGTATAAAATCATGGGGGAAATAGTATAGATATATGAAAACTATAGGAGAATTAAGTGAATTTTTATTAAAAAAAAAACTATA